TACAATAAATCATAAAATCTTAAAATACCATAACTTATCTTGTTAGTGATGATTGAACTCTTTTCTTTGAGAATGAAGAATTGAAAGATATAAATATCTTCAATCTAACCTAGCAACTTAGGTCTAGTCATATTCTAAACCTACTGCTTGATCGTACAATAAGAAATGGTGTGTTGGGTTTTAGCTGCAAGGGAGGAGCATGGTTGACAGAGTAACAAAAATGTCAAGTGAACAGTTTTTAATTGGCTGAGGCTTATCATTCGATTAACATGACTAAATCTAGCCTCACTTAAACTTAGCACGTTTGCAATGCAAATAAATGTGCTGTGTCAGAGCTGGGCTACACCTAGTCACACTGTTCGGAGGCTAACCACTCAAACCTCTGCACTCTTCATCACAAGGTAGGCCTATCAATGTCACACACACACACACACACACTCTCTCTTTCATTAGAAAAATAAGTAATCTTGGTTGAATGGTTTTTCATTAAGAATTTTTGTAAAAAAAATTAAGACTGGTCTCGTTTTTTCATAACTGGCCTTTTTTTTACCCTACACATGTGGCTGCAGCCCCAATAGCCTTTGCCTTAATTTGCCCCTGCGTGGACTGACTGGAATACCAAATCATGCTATTATACTGCTTTTTGGGTGATATAATCAAAAACTGTTGTTATGGATTAAATATTTTTTTAATGTTACACACACATATATATATATTTATATAATGAAATAAATAGCTCCAATACTATTAATTACATTAATTATTAATAGGCAATTAAAATAAGCACTATAAAACACACACACATATATATATATTTATATAATGAAATAAATAGCTCCGATACTATTAATTACATTAATTATTAATAGGCAATTAAAATAAGCACTATAAAACACACACATATATATATTTATATAATGAAATAAATAGCTCCGATACTATTAATTACATTAATTATTAATAGGCAATTAAAATAAGCACTATAAAACAATAATGAACTTAATATAAAAAGATTTTAGTAAAGAATCCATTGTTCACCTTTGAAATCAGAGTATTCAATGACTTGTTCAATAATTTTGTAAATACAGAAATAAACATTCCAAAATTTAAATTTACTAAAGTTCAATGTAAAAAAATACTTTATTTCTGTGTTTATAATAGTTATATTACTTTCAACAAACAAGTATATAAACAAATATTGGGTATTCCAATGGGAGCAAACTTCTGTTCAAATATGGCCAATTTGTATTTACTCATTTATGAAAACTCATTCCTAAAACAGGTTTAAAATCCTAATATATATATATAATTTTTGTTACATAGATGATTTAATTGCCATAAATAACTTGAATTTTACATCAAACTTAAAATACCCAAAAGAACTTGCAACATAAAAAAATCAATAATAATGATGTTCATACTAACTATTTAGACTTGGACATTAATGTTGTAGAAGGCAAAGCAAAGCTGATAAAAGAAGGGAATTTAATTTTCCCATCCTTGGTCTACCTACCCTCAACAGTGTTATTGCAGGTATGATTTTAAAAGGCATCATTATATCTCAGCTAAAAAGATTTTTAATAGTTTGTAATCATGATAATGCTTTTATGGATAATTTTATATTATTCATAAATAAACCAGAAAATATTGGCTACAAATACTGGCAATTTAGAAAATTTTGTACACTGTTTTATAACAAATATGAAAATACTTTAAAAAATAAACTTTCAACATGGAAAATACCTTTTTTGTCACTAGAGGTTGTGAGCTACTTTTAAGTAGCTAAATTTAAAATTATAATTTTATTCAGTACACTGGGATGGAAAGACTAACTTCAAGTAGCTGGGCTTGTCTCAGCTTTCCCACGTTATAGTTGAATAACGAGGAGGTTGGGAATATGAACTACCAATGAAATATTAAGGTAGGGTTTGTAGTTCTATTTAAGATCATTTTATTTAATACCTTTTATTATTTTATTTCATTTCTTTTATAAGGGTGGAAGTTGGGAGTTGCATACAGTAGAAGTGTTAGGGTGGTTTCATTTCTACTTTAGGAATTATAAGAACTTTTAAGGGTAACTACCTTCCCACAACTGGCTGCAGACAGTGAAGGGCAGTAGGAGTTGAGACGTTGTGGGTGTAAGCACTCAACCCCATACCCTTAATTGATTTTCCATTCTTACTGGCTAGTTTAACATAAGTGTTTGGATTTTGTTGGTAGATGGGATATCCCCAACACACTGTGGAGCTATTACCACAGGCATTACATGTTATGACTTTAAGGTGACAATTGGGATTGACAATGGATTCTTTACTATGCACATACATATTTATAATTGTGTCTTTAAAAAATCACATTTGGAATTGATAACATAGAATTAACATATATATATACATGTTCTTGGAGTGGACCAGTTAGAATCCATGGAAGAACAGTTAGAATTTTGTGACAAGATTAGAAATTGGTACCAGTTAACTTTATAAAAATTAATTGTGAAACACTGTAACCAGATGTTCAGTATTTTTTACATGATAGAAGCCTTCCCCTATAACAATGTAGCATTTTGAATTAACCAGTTGACCATATAGACCTAAGGAAGTCAATACAAAGTTAAAATAATGCTAATATATTCTGTAATTGCTTAGCTCAATCAGGTTATAATTCAGTAACTTCAAAGTAATATTATTATTTCTTGTAATGTGACTGGTATGAAAAAAGTTAAAAACAAAGACAGAAAATTTTAAAATCAAGATTAAACAGTTGTTACAATTTATAGCCATATTTCTAAAAAAAAAATTACAGCATTTGTTCATTAACAGAATATCTGTTTTAAAGATAATATAAAAGTCATTACTTAAACAGTCATAGTTTCTCCTATCTTGGACTTCAACAATATGAAAAAACATATTTCTCACACGAATCCTAAATTCTAAGCAATCAAAAATTGATTCTGTAATAAGTCTAGGCTATAAGAGCTGCAGGTGTCCTAAACAATGCTGTGATAAAAACAAATCTCTGAAGTCTAGATAAATTGTTAGGGTGTCGGGAAAAAGCCAAGGCACAAACATTTACCATGGTAATGTTTAACTGATGTTTTGTTAATATAAGAACAACCATATATTATATTTGAAGAATATATATTCATGTATCATCTGAAAGATCTTCTTACATGGTATATGCGGAAACTATTTTTAAAAGATATTCACGTATTTATTTGAAATAGCTACCTACAATATATATACACACTATTTCTAAAGAATATTCACATAGTCATATTATAAATACAGATACTATTTCTAAAGGGCCAAAAACCTTTATGTCTTAAGACAATTAATATAATTGCACAACATGCGTAAAAACTGTTTCTTCAAATGTACACATGTATACTAAGAGCTAACTAGTAAGGCTTAGCTGTAATAGCTAAGTTTTGTAGTTACTGTACTTTTTTTATTAATTTTTGCTATTTATTAATTTTATTTGCAATGATACTTATTGGCATGTACTGAACATCTTAATGGTTTCAAAGCATGTGATATAAAGAGGTTTAGTACATTATATTAAAACAATTATGGAGCCTCATACAACTTGAAAATATTATTGCAACATAATTTCCTTTGCAAAAATCTCTGCTGTAAGGCTTCATATCAAAACCACACCACTGTTCTCAGCTACTTTCCATAATCCATCTAGGCAATAAGTGTGAGAATGACAGTTCCAAGCAATTCTTTCAACAGTATGATTGCACAGAAACCTACAGACATTTGTATGGTGATTTGACTGGCAAGTCTGTATGGAATATCATGAAAACCCATTTCATTCTTCTGCTGTTCGAGGTGCATAATAGGCGGATGGATATGCTGTAATTCTCCCACTTAGGTCGATCCAATATAAAGTCATTAAGAAATTAGGGAACAATATCTGAAATAAGTTGTTTAAATCTGGTTTAACTGTTTTTGACAACCCCTCCCAAAAACGAAAACTTCAAACTGTGCCCCTAGGTCTATGCTGCATCATGACAACAAGTAGATGCATCACACAGGTATTTTTCCACTCCTGGGAGTCAGTTCAAAGCCACCCTGCCCAAACTTTGCTCAGCCTCAGTCACATGTTGTCTGTCCTATTGGCCTCAATATACATGTTTATTTATACATTTTATTTATGTTCTGTATTTATTTACATATTTTCTATGTCTTTATGTTAAGTTAGATTAAGTTTGAGTGTCCTAAAATTAGTCTCCAGGAAGGCATCCTCCCTTTATAATACTAAGTCAATGGGAAAATAGTGGCCAATTTATGTCTATCTGTATAACGCTGTATTTTCTTGGAATGAATCCCCAAGGTAAATGGGAGAGTTACTGTACTTGTGTTATCTTATTAGATGAAGATCCTTCTTCATTATGTTACTTGGGGCCTGTGGATGGCTTTTGCCACTGACCTTTGTGTTCATGCATTGTCATCTGTTACAAGACATTGCAGGTACCTTACCTCAGCTGGATATGACCTTTTGGAGGTCTTTTTCTGGAGGGGCCTGGCATCCCAAACTGATCTACATTCCTTTGTTTTCCAATGCCATAAAGTACATGGGATATTCCCATCTTGGAAATTCAAAATTCTCAATCTAAACACATCATTACAATTTGAATGTAGAAATATTTTGTGGTAGAAACGATTGTTATATATCATTCTCAAGAGGATAAAGTTTTGTGGCATCATGCTACCTTGAAACAACAAATTCTCTTAAAATTTAGTTTTAATACATACCATTCTATACAGACTTTATATTAGCTATGGTTGTCCAGTGACTTGCAGATTTACATATGCATAATTGCTTTAATATAATGTAGTAAACACTTTGCAGAAGGTATCTTAGGCATACATCACATATAAAATAAACTAATGGTTTATGATCAAACAGCCTTGAAGAAACTTACGCCTATTTAATAACACCAAAACTGATTTTCAAACAATACAACAAACAAAAATCTAGAGCTAGATTCTTACATGAGAACGACAAGTCATTGATAACTTTTTTATTAAATCCAGTCTCTCTCTTTCTTGTTCTTCTCTTTTCTCCACTTCTAGCTGTTTGAACCTCTGCCAGTCTTTCAATACACCTTTTGGACCAGTCTGAAATTATAAAAGACTGATGTACAACTAAATACAATAAACATATATATAAATGTATATATATGTATGTTCCTGAAGCAGAAAAAAAAAAAAAATGAAGGAATTACAAATGCCTCTTATTTTGGTTCAAGTTTATATGGAGAAAAATATCTGTATGTATTTAGTATAATGTATTTATTAATACCTGATAGTTACTTCTTAGAACAGGGTCACAGAAGGCCATCTGACCATTAAGGAAAGTCCTCACTCACCACAATAACCACACACAATACCCAAACCAAATCAAATGTAATCTTTTACATCCATGTAATTTACCTATCTATAAAACTTGTAAAATAATTTAAACAGCACACTGTAGTAGTGTGAGTTGTTGGAAGGTGATTTAATAGCAAGTTAACTCATAGGTTAACTCATTAGCTCAGTTGGTAAAACACTCATCTGGTGCGTGACAGGTCTGGGGATCAAATCTGAAGCAAAGAAGTGTATATCAATAAAAAATAAATTATAGGAACATCATCAAATAAATTATTACACAAGCTTTATAATTCTAATAAAAATGTTTTTTTAGAAGTACAAGGTATACATCAACACTTCAAATGTTTAATTTCCCCTTTATTATCCATAAGATCATTCAGGCTATCACACCTATTATCTACCTTTTCATCTCATCACATAAACAGATCAGCCACAGGAAGGCAGTTCAAATCTCTAATACTTTATAACACCTCTAATTTTTATACTTCATAGAAAACAAATTCAAAAAGTCTAAGTCTCAAACCAAACACTTGTAGCAATAAAATCATGAACTCTATTTATTTTTTCACCACAGTTACAAAATTTCTACCAGCAATCACAACTAAATCCTTTTCTCTTTTTCCCAAATGCATAACATGAAC